TGGTGACAGAGAGCCAGGGGATGTCCCCAGTTCAGCTGAGGAGTGTGCAGGATGGGCCATGCCCTGTGGGAAGCCAGACGGATGGATGCAGGGATAGGGGTGTGCTGGAGCAGGAGGAGAGGGGAGCCTGGGGGTGTAAAGGCTCCCCTCACCACCTCTGCCCCCCCAGGCACCATGGGCTGCTGCTGCAGCTCAGACTATGACGAGGACTGGATCGAGAACATCGACATCTGTGAGCACTGCAATTACCCCATCGACTCCGACAGTAAGAACCAGGTGAGGAGGGGGTGAGAGACCCCCATCCCAGTGGCCAAACGCCTCCAGAGGTGGCCATGGGGTGGCCAAACCCTGGAAGGTGAGGACTCACGAGGCTCCTCATCCCCTGGCAGAGGCTGATCCGCAATGGCTCCGAGGTGCAAGACCCTCTGGTGTCCTACGAGTCCACGTCCCCGCCGTGCTCCCCCATGCAAGGTGAGGTCTGGCCGTGGTGGGGGGTGGCTGGGACACCCCCAAACTGGCCACTGCCACCCTGTCCCTCTCCTTGTCCCCCCAGATAAGCTGGTGGTGGCCCTGTACAACTACGAGCCCAAGCACGACGGGGACCTGCGGCTGCGGAAGGGAGAGAAGCTCCGTGTCCTGGAGGAGTGAGCGAGCGCCAACCACGTCCCAGCACCGACCCTGGCACAGCCCCACAGCTCCTGTGCTGGCAGGAGGGGCTGAGCAGGGTCCTGGCAGCTGGAGGGGGGGTCTCACCTCGCTGTGTCCTTGCAGGAATGGGGAGTGGTGGAAGGCACAGTCGCTCACCACCGGCCAGGAGGGATTGATCCCCTACAACTTCGTGGCCTTGGTGAACAGCCTGGAGCCCGAGCCGTGAGTAGGGATGGAGCGGGAGCCGTGCCCTGGCAGAGGGGGACGGAGCCAGGAGCACCCCAGAAGTGCTGGTGGGTGAAGGCACAGCCTGACCACCCCCCCACCCCTGTGTCCCCAGGTGGTTCTTCAAGAACATCAGCCGCAAGGACGCCGAGCGGCAGCTCCTGGCGTCGGGCAACACGCACGGCTCCTTCCTCATCCGGGAGAGCGAGACCTCCAAAGGTACCTTCCCGCACTGGGAGAGGCCCCGGGAAGCACTGGGAGGGCTGTGGGGGACCCACACGGTGCCCGTGTCCCCAGGCTCGTACTCGCTGTCCGTGCGGGACCTGGATGAGACCCAGGGGGAGACGGTGAAGCACTACAAGATCCGGAACATGGACAACGGCGGCTTCTACATCTCCCCCCGCGTCCCCTTCGGCAGCCTCAGGGAGCTGGTGCAGCACTACACACGTATGGGATGGCCAGGGGGGATGGGAACAGGGTGGGAATGGGGCGGGATGGGGTGGAACTGGGATGGGATAAGAACGGAGTGAGATGGGACAGGATGGAACGGAATAGGGTGGGATGAGACCAGATGGGATGGGACAGGACAGGATGGAATGGGATGGTATGGGATGGGAATGGAATAGGAATGGGGCAGGATGGGAGAGGGATGGGACGGGATTGGATGGGATGGAATGGAACAGGAATGGGGCGGGATGGGATAGGATTGGATGGGATGGGAATGGTATCGGAACAGGATGGGATAGGACAGGATGAAATGGGAATGGCACAGAATTAGACAGAATGGGACAAAATGGAATGGCAATGGTACGGGATAGGATGGGATGGGACTGGGATAGGATGACATGGGATGGGACAGGACAGAATGGGAATGGGACGAGATGGGATAGGACAGGATGGGACGGGATGGGATGGGATAGGATGAGCAGAACACGCTGCTCCACGTGCCCCAGCCAAGCCATCAGCCTGTGCCCGGCTCCTGGTGCCTCTGCCTGCCCTGACCCCCCCCGTTCCTCTCCCAAACCCAGGCAGCTCCGACGGGCTCTGCACCCGCCTGGGCAAACCCTGCCGGACGCAGAAGCCGCAGAAGCCGTGGTGGCAGGACGAGTGGGAGGTACCCAGGGAGTCCCTGAAGCTGGTGGAGAAGCTGGGAGCGGGGCAGTTCGGAGAGGTCTGGATGGGTGAGTGAGTCAGGGCAAAACTGGGGCCCCACAGGATGGGAGGGATCCAGCTGGGATCACTCATGGAGCAGCCAGCACAGCCCCGGGTGTGGGACTCTTGGCTTTCCACGGGGGTTCTGGGAGAAGGGAGAATCCTTCTGGATCACCCAGAGCAGCCCAAGCTTCCTCCTCTCCCATCCCAGCCACCCAGGATGGAATGACAGGGGTCCTGTCCTCGTGGAGCTGGGCTCTGCTCGCCATGGGAACAGCTGCTGGCTTTGTCCCCACTTGGGAAATGTCCCTTGCTGTGGCTCTGGCTGGAATTCTGGGAGCAGTGGGAGGCTTGGAGGCAGCACAGGGCCTTGGGAGTGTGGTGATCCAGCCATAAAAGCACCTCCTGCTGCTGAGTGCTGAGGTGGGGAAGGCACTGGGGCTGCCCTGCTCCTTCCCCTCACTAAAGAGG